CAAACCCGATAGCTTTCATTAATTAAATATATCTCTGAGAACTTCATATAGATTTAGCCTTTACTGATGTTTCTGACAATATGGAAATCTGTTAGTAAGTAACACTGTTAAGTTTATTAATTTAGGATAATTTAATAGGAACATAATTGTGTTTCATATATTTGGGAAATAAAAAACAAAGAAAATTATTTCTATCATTTTAAGAATTAGAAAGCAAGCTTCTGGAAAGCTGTATGCTGGGATCACTGTGTTTAATAAAAGCTGAAAAATGAAACAAAGTAAACATATGTTGCTTACATTTTTAGTTGACTCTGAATGAGGCAGCATTACAAGCACATTGAAGGATACCATGGAAATACAAAATAATCTGGAGGGTAATGGACAGCTCTAAATGGGGTTTAAATTTACATAAACATTACATAATACGTTCAAGACACTTGGCATTATGTACAAGCATTGTTGCTGCAGAATGCTAGATAACATTGTTTAAGCTCTTCAACCCTCACTACTCCTCATTCAAGTCACGTTTCAGACATAAGTAGATAGAAATCTGATTGTGCTGTTACTGGAAGGGGTGACTGCTTGTAAGAAGCCCCTAACTCTGTGCTTATAAATCACTTGAGTGTAGCTAGTGTGTTTACCTACCCAACCAAACATAGAAAAGAAGGATATTGGTAGTGGTATCAGTTGTCCCATAGTCTAGAAAGCTTAGGCTTCTTTCAAAATCAGACCCTGACATGAGACCAAATGAAATTTCTACCGATAGCAAAGATGTTCAGTTAGCCATTGGTCCTCCAGCCCTCTCTCACTGAAAACAGAGACTGGTAGCTACAGGGACTCTACATGCAGCCACCTGGCACCAACGCTCTGCATGAGCTGTAGCTGTGGGTTCCGTTTTAATGCAAGTACAGTCTGATTCCTGCCACAGATACAGCTTAATTTTGTCCCTGTCTTGATTGCATTTACCACCACTGTGGACTCATATTAAGTGGTAGATGTGTCCCTCTAAATTTGAATTGGTTTTGTTTTTGATACTGCGATTTCACAGAATCACAGAATGGTAGGGGTTGGCAGGGACCTGTGTGGATCATCTAGTCCAACCCCCCTGCCGAAGCAGGGTCACCTACAGCAGGCTGCACAGGACCTTGTGCAGGAGGGTCTTGAGTATCTCCAGAGAAGGAGGATTCCATATTGGTTTGACAACTTGCAAATGTGTGTTTGAGACATTCCATTGAATATTAATGGTAGGATGATACTTTGCAGTAGATACCCAGGTAAAAACACATGGCAGTTCAAAAGTTCATATTATGTGTTACAGTTGCTGAGAATGAATTTTTACAAAGGACAGCCTGTTCACCTAAGAAAGGAATCATTAAAGGTCCTTTGCTGTGGGTTAGAACTTGAATGCATCATTGCAAAGCGGGTCACTTCTTATTTTCCCATGCTGTTTTGCAGCGTGTGGATTGCTGCCCACTTCACTGCATAGTTTCTGTTTCACTGCTGAAACTTCAGATTGAATCTTCCTGGAGAACATGTGGAACAGCGTGCAAAGCCTACCACAGTCTTGTTCTTGGCTGGGGGAGAGGAAAGGAGATGAGTTTTCTCTTTCAAAAGTTCTCGTAAAGATTCCTTGTCATGGCATAAGATGTAGAGCTCTCAGGGGGGAAAAAAGCAATTCTCAGGTAGATGGTGGTCGTTCAAATGTGGGTAATTTTGACTTGGTGTATCATAAACTTAGATTTCCATGAATAATTACTGATAATAAACAAAACTTCAAGACTTTACAGTGACAAAATTACTTCAGGAACAAAAGGTAAAGAAGGCTTTCCCAAACTGTGTAAAGCATAAATGGAGCAAATGGGTTCCATTTCAGTGGGTCTGCCCTGCTCTGATAGCTATTCCTTATAAATGTTGTCATTCAAAACTGACATAGCTCTCCACGCTCTCTGATAATAACACTCTGATAGTGTGGGGGTCAGTGCAGGGCAGAATAAAACAAGTACAAAGAAAATGTCGTGCCAAGCAGCAGTAACTGTAAGCAGGTAATTTGGAAAACAGACAGACAAATCAACTGTGGAAGTCAGAATTAAAAACAAAGTGGAAATTAAATAGCGACAAAGAAATTATTTGAGTCTGACACTTGTAAGTGTGAAGGAAGTGAAAGAAATGTCTGAATATACGGTTGCAAATTGTGATAATAAAGTGCACGTTGCTGAAGTTAGTCAGTAAAGCGTCCCAACACCAAGGTGACAAATAGCACATAATGCAAGCAGTGAAGAGCTGGTGTTCCCGGGCGAAGCACAGAGACCCAGCTCTGCTGGTCTTTCCTGTTCTTCCCACGCTTGCCATATGCCGTCGATGACGCTTGCTGAGGAGGCCGTCCGGGAAGCGCCTCGGCGCAGCCCCACGCACGCGCTTCCGTGGGGCTGCAAGACAGCCATTCCGGCACCTCGCCCCCGGTGCCCGTGAGGTTCCTCCCGCAGCATCGCCACTCTGCGATGGCGCGGCACCAGGGCTCTGCTCGAGCACATCGCCGAGATGCACCTCGGCAGCCTGCACTGCCTGCTCTGGTCTGCTGGGACGCCTGGCCGGGAGGGCAAAAGGGGCAGAAGAGCTGGAAGGGCGAGTTGGAATGGAAGGGTGTGAGATGAGGCAGCCAAGGAGAGCAGCGTTCGTTTACCTTCTGCTCCGTTGGCTTCCTCCTCGTTGGCTGTGACTTGCTTCTGCCCAGCCTCGTGTGACGATGTTTCACTGGCTTGTTACTCATGTCACCGTTGAATTCCTTCACTAATTGATACTGTATGTTTGGACAGGATGTGTGATTTGCTTCTTGGAGATAACAATACAGAAAATTCACAGGCACCAATAAATAACTGTGCTGTCCTGGCAGTGTGTTTTCCTGATGCTGGTTATTTACTATATTAGCTTTCAAAATCTCTATTGTAGTGGTGGTAATAGTATTAGACTATTTTTATATGGGGATGGTCTTGTTGTTCTATGATCACAAAAGGATGATCAGTGTCTAGTTTATCTATGCACAGACTACATCATTGTCTCACAAAACAATGTCCCAGTGCTAGGATTGCTTCATTAAGTTTATGCTACATAGACATAATTGTGCAGGAGCTAAGAATAGCTCATCTAATTGAAAATAATGATTATAGAGAAAGTACGGGTTTGATTACTGTTACTAAGCAAGCACATACCGTACAACCATTCATGAACTGCACGGAACACATATGGGATTGTACGGTGTGTTTGTTTTGATTAACAGTTTCTTTCCCCCATCCTGAGTAAAAGTCGAAGGTGTTACTGCTTATTTGCTCACTATCATTTTTGCTCAGAGACCTAGACGGGCCTGAGAGAAGGCAGCATGAGCTGATATTTAACCAGTAAGTTATGACAAGCTAAGCTTTGAAATAACATTCAACATTTATCCCTGCACACATTTTAGGGAGGATGTAACTTAAATAAATCTTCTCCAGGCACCACAGATGAAACTGTCTATGTGGTTTTTCATGTCTGTGTTTATACTAGTACCCTGTGGGATTAAACATCCTTTTAGAAATGCAGTCTGCCATACTGTTAATCTCTTGGTGCTTGTTGTGGTTAATTCTTGCTTCGTCTAAAACACATAGAACTCTTCTTTATTCCTTGCAAATAAAACTGAATTTTTTACAGTGAAGTTGTTGAAAGTTTTCATTTATTTGATTGCTGTTGATTAATATCAGCAGGCACGTGGGATAAAAGTTGCTGCTGCTGTTGTCCTCAACTAATTTTTTTCTTTCTTGTCAGTTTTCTACTAGAATGTTATGAGAAAATTCCTGAGATCATGAAAATTAATATATCTGGTTTAGAAATGCTATTAATACCTCTAGAGGCTCAGAAAACTCTGCTGGTTTGCCATGTTTATCTTCCCCTCTGTTCTAATGAACCATTTCATAGCTCTAGGCTATGTGCTAATGCAGTAGAGGCACAGAGAGATCACTGCCATCAGGAATTTTTAAACAGATGACTGTTTAACAAATGAAGTGGGGAGGGAAGACGGGACAAACAGTGATGCAGTCCTGCAGTAACACAACTATCAATTTGCACAGTCTAAAATCAGAGGCGCTTGCACAAGCTGTTCTTGAGGCTTTTTAAGAAATAGCAGAAGGAAAAAAGTGGAAGCAGAGGGCAGGTTACTTTACAAAAGTATTCCAAACAGTTGTCTTGACTTCAGAAAAGTTGCCTTTTCAGATTGTTTTGGATTTGAAATTCAGTGAGTTACAGGAATTTAAAACTGTGAAGTCCCTATTTATACAAATGCCTATTGAAGCATCAAACACATTTTCCATCCCATTCCTTTCCAACGTGGTCTAGTTGAAGATGTCCCTGCCTGTGGCAGGGGGGTTGGAGCTATATGATCTTCGAGATCCCTTCCAGCCCAAACCATTCTAAGATCATATGATTTTGGAAGACATTTCTCAGTTCTTTAGGCAAACATACCTCAATTTTGCCCTTCAAAAAATTTTACATAGCACCCAACATTGAACATTAACTTTGAAATGTTGTAAAGGTAATAGAATTCCACAGTCGCCTTGAACACCGTGTGTCCTGCTCTCACAGACTCCTCTTTAGGAATCAGGGTGGTGGCCCAGTCTGAACCTTCTGTACACCTCTGTACATGTTCTGGTATTGTGTATTAAAAACATAATCCCAGGTTTCGATCAGATACCATTTTTTTCTATTTAGAAATTTTAATTATAAGCTTGGGCTATAAATTGTGTACCTACAAGTAAATGTGATACAAGGATGAGCAGAACAGAAGAACTGAGAAGAATAATGTGTTGGTTCTGAAATATATTGACTGATTTGCAGTTCCTCACAGCAAGTGGGCATAAGAGTGCACTATACGGTATAGTGTATGGTAGCTGAAGACAGTAGTCCTTTGCTCTTACATTACTGATGCAACTCATAAAAGACTCCTCTGCATATAAACTGTTTTCTGCTCTGTACAGAACTGCACATGCAAGAGCTAAAGCTGATGCTGCGGATCAGGCTGCTCAGGCTGCTCGCCAGGAATGTGATATTGCAAGAGCAGTTGCCAGAGAACTTTCACCAAATTTCTACCAACCAGGTAATTATACACTGGGGGTTTTGTGGCTAGTTTTTATTTTTCTTGAAGTAAAAGGATTCTGTATTAAGTTAAAAAGTTTGTTTTGTTTTGAATGTTGTCATTTATACAGAAACAGTGGTCATGTAGGTAATGGAGCATGTAAGTTGCTCAGGGAGATTTTTTCATTTTTTAATCATTTGGTGACTATTGCTTTGTATAAAAACAGTTGAGTGTTGAAAAGTCAGTATCAAACATGCAACTTTGCCTGTAATTAATAGCTTCTTCAGGATGGTGTCAAAGACAGACTTCAGAGAATGTAAATCAACAGAAATCTAGGTTATTTCTGTAGTGCGTTCATTGTGGAAAGATCACTTTCCACCACTTTACTCACCAAGGGAATTATTGACAGTCTTGGTTAGCTAAGGCCTGAGTTCTGGAGAATGCTTTACCATTACACATACATAACCTGTGAAGGAATCTTCCTGTGTTATGCCTGTGGTGCTCTGTGAAACATTAGTCCCACACTCAAGATATCATAGAATTAGGTCTGTGTCACCTGTATCAACACTGCAACCCATTTTCACTTGTTACATGGTTTGGAAAGTTGCTATAGACGGAAGTAAAGTGGTTTCTGCTTTGTTTTTCTGGTGTCTTTCCATGAGGTTAGTATTTTTGTGTACTGCTCTTTAGCTTAAGATTGGATAGATAAAATGGAACTCCATTTGCCAATTTAATGTCTTTTCATAAGTCTTTCCTTTCTTTCGCCTGTCAAATGAGTTGAGTCATATCTTGTTATTAATTTTCAAGGACTTTTCTGCACTTGTATGCTAATATAGATTATAGCTCTGAGATTCATTTTCACTTGCCGTCATCTTCTGCACATCTTTGTTGCAGACACAAACTCGTTTATTCTTAAATGCTCCCATATGGTGGATGCAGGCTAGTGTCATGACCTGCAAAATCAAAGAACAACATTCTACATTTTCTAGCAGACCACCTATTTCCTTCAATTTTTAGTATAAATGACCAATGATTATAACTTGGTTCTAAATCATTACTGTCAGCTTAAAGAATACTTGGTTTTTTCTTTATTCCTAAGTATTTAGTTGTAGAGAGCAATCTGTGTGGTTTGCGGTTAGGAGGATTGGGGCGCTTTTTTGTATTTTTTTGGTGCTTAAGTCGAGGACTGGTCACCTCGTTCAGGTTAGAATCTCCATTCTCCTTACCAGTCTTGCAACCTTTCTTTGTACCCATCCTGATACAAGTTCATCTTTCTTGAACATGGCTGTCCAGAACTGTAGGTAAAGCTCAGCATAACTATTTCCAGTAGTAAGACTTTACTAGTTTTGAAATGGTATCAATATGTACCTTTCACTGTTGGAAATGACCTCAATACAGACCCTCCTATGGACTTACATGCTTACTCCTGTGATACCCACATCATCATCTTTTTTCATTATTTCATTCTTCCATCAACTGATGAACTCCCAAGTTACAGCAGCAGTTCATCGTGTCAGTCATAAGAAGTCGTAAGCTTAGCCATGCAAACAACTAATGACAGGGCCCCTGTCGAAGGAAGGCTTGATAGAGGGTAGAAGTAAGAGGGAATTGAAGCATTTGGAATGAAAGTATTTCAAAGCTGCCAAACCCTTGAGATAAAGAAATGGCTAGAGTACTCGAGAGAAAATGGAAAGTTCTGATGGTGTGAAATTTGACGACAAGAAATCCCCCAGATCAAGAATTTATTAGGTGTCTTTTTTTACTTCCTGCCACAGGATATGGAATAGCATTGCTGACAGATTGGCTGAGATCCAGGCAGAGGAGGTGCCGGATTCTTACTTTCTTTTTATTTAAAACTTTTATTCCAATTACAGAAGGGAAGAGTTTGTATCCCTTCCCCAAACGCAGCTGTGTATGTGTGCAGTGGTGTAACAAAACATTTCTCGAAGTCTGCTTACTCTATTCTTTATGCGGAAATGTCTGTCAGTTAGCTAGCTACCTATCAAAAGATAAATACCTCTTTTGGAGTCTAAATTTCAAATTTGCTGTTTATTTTCAGGATGGCCAAATACAGCATATTTGTACACAATTGAAAAAAATTACTGTTCCCATTGCTTAAGTAACTTTAAGATGCCAAGCTGTTAACTGAATTTCAGTTATCCCAAATAAGCTGCAGCAAAACACCAGATTCGTACACCGTTGTGACCCTTTCAAATACTGTCATGTCAGAGACACTTTCCACCCTCAGTGTTCACGGTGCCTTTTTCAGATGCATTCTTTCTGAGTGGTACCAGTTAACCCTGAGACTCACCTGTACACATACTTGCTTACTTAAATATTGCCAAAGTGTCATACTATGAGTTACTGAACAATGTTAGCATTAGCTTTTGTCATTTATGGTAGTAAAATTCATAAATATTTTTAAATATTTGCATTCACTCACACAAACAGCAGTGAATATCTGCTTTTTAAATAGCATTTTTGTATGTTTGAGTGAAAACAAGGTAACCATTATTGCTTCCTAATAGCAACTTCTCAGATTTCTTCTGTTGCTTGAGCTTTTTATTTTTACAGTACCTTTAGAAGTTTCTGTTAGTGCTACTAAAAGGTAATGATAAATATTGTATCTCAGTCTCTGAAACTATAGCTAAGAGAAAGCTTTCCATTGTGCTAAAATGTCTTGAAAAAAAGTTACTGTGGGAAAGTGTAAATTTTCTCTCATTGCTTGAACTGCTTAGGTAGGCAAGCATGCTGTCAGCAGCAAATAAATGTATGTAGTATATCAACAAGTCTTTTGAAAGAAAGAGGGGAAAAAAGTGAACTACAAATACCTGTCTATAAACAAGTTAAGCTTTTTTTTTCTGTTTTAATGAGTGATCTCGGCATTACCTGTGGCCTAAGTCCATTTAAATATTTGCAGATCTTTTGATAAAGCTCTTCAATTTCAGATTCTTAAAAAGCTACCTTCTGGGCCACCTATCCTAATATTATACACAATTTATAATGACAGTGAATATCTAACACTCGTTGTACCATGACAGTTCTTACTTCCCAATTACTTTCTCTCACATTTAAATCTTCTGTTCATTAAGACGTTCATCAGAAGCTGGCAAGAGCTTCTAGCTTTGTAATGGAGTTTAAAAGGAGATTGAAAGGAGAACAAAGCAGTAGGAAGCAAAGTAGCATTCAGCGGGTGAGAATAAGAACGTCAGTCTGAATCATGAATACTGAGGTACCGTAGAAATCTTGAGTTTTGTCTTTCCTAGTAATTGATTACCTTGATATTTGCATCCAAGGAAAGCAAGTATGATTGAAAAGGTCCGTGCCATGCTCTATGGACTTAAAAGGTTACAGGGAGCTGTTTTCTGTGAGCTTGTTCACGCTAGCCTCAGGCAAGACCCTGCTTCTACTTTTACTGTAGCAGAGATTTGGCTAGTGATTAATAGCTGTGAGGATGGCATATCTTTGCAGAGCCCTACCAACAAGGCTATACATTTTGTAGATTTAACAAATGTTGCAGTCTTTATAGAGGCCAGACTTTGCAGGCCTTTTTATCACTAAAGAAAACGAATTTTGAGAAATCTCGTCTCGGACCTGTTTGTTTCCTCCAGGCATCACTAAACTTGTAGCTGTGTCAAAAGAGAGCATACCAGGACAGGAAACAAATGAAACCTGAGTCATATCCTCATTCAAGGGAGTCATCTGGGGACAGTTTGAGATTGTCTTTGCTTAGAGAAAAACAGTAAACGCTGTTTTGTGTTTCTTGTTAAAACCTAGAGAAGAGCAAATGACTAATGGGAGTGCTGTATCGAAGGTGTAACAGAAAAGAAAGGCTTTTGACACCCAGTAAAAAGGGCGAATATTGCTCTAGTCTTGCACAAGGTTAACGGATGCTTTGACTTACCCATTCATTCTGAATTCCACAGGCCATCTCTAGGATATAGTCTTGTAAACACACTATCAGGAGGTAAGCGAAAAGATGAATTTGCACAAACTGGACAGCTAAGCCGTAATTGTCTGTGTGCATATATATCCTGCAGCAAATGGATACTGCTCTTTCACTCAGTTTGAATGAATAATATTTGATTAAGTGAAAGAGGGGTAAAACTACTTTGCTTCAGGGTAAGAGCAGTCTGGGCACTTTACCGTGGAGCAATTAAGGTCTGGAAATTCAGAGCTGCATTGGTTTATGACAGATTATTTGTCAGGCCAACCAGCTGCCAGACAAACATACATGGCTCACCAGAACAATTCATCCAGCCTATGGCCTCCTAAACAAAGCATGAGAGACATCAAGGAGCAGTTTATCAATTAACGCTCTCTAAAGTGGTGGACAGAATTTCTTTAGGTAAAATATATGAGCAGAGAACCAAGATTTTCTAATGAAAAGAATAACAATTTGTCAGGTTTTAGCGGTATTTTTTCCTGTAATGTTTGGTTACTGTTACAGCATCAGTATTAACATGCTGAACATCACTAGTTTCAGAAATAAGCATTTTAAGCTTACAATAGGGCAATTTCTAATGGCCTCTAATACCTTAAAGAGCAACTGTGATTTACATTCTCATTTGACCAGTGGTGGATGTCTGTAGCCTTGGAAGAAAACACATCCTTCCCATGTTCCTCCTCTCTGCCATCTCCACCTCCTCCAGTTGACAAAATGGAAGCTCCATATGGACAGGAAAGAGATTTCTGCCTGATGCTAATTAACTGGAATGTACTGGCTAAATGCATGTGGACCAGGCCAGATATTTTTATTTAAAAAGCCAATTACAGTGAGCATTTTGCCTGATTAGAGTTACCAGCCATGCCATCAGTTTGTGCCTTAAAGCGTACAGAAGCTCACTTGTTATTCTTAGTCATACGAGAGCCTGTTCATTTTCTGAAATTATTCGACATAAGGCTTCATCATCCTCACACAACTGTTGTGGGGATTCTTGCTATGGCATCTTTTCTCTACAATTTATTGCTTCCGTCATCTTTCTACACAACTGTGGAGAAGCCAGAGCCTATAGAGCTAT